AGCTGATTTTTCAGCCCCAACTAACTAGCATCAATTGTTCCAGAAAAGCAAAGGTTTTGCTTCAGGTTCTGACCTCTTCTTAATCACAGCTGATTCTTCAGCCACAGCTGACTGGTACCCACAGATTATCAGTACAAAATTTCAAATGAATAGCCCTGATAGTCTCCGCTTCCCTTTGAAGCTTCATAAGCCAAACTGCCATCATCTACAACTCTTTCAGCATAACTGTTCTAAGCTCCACAGCAACAAACTCTGAGCATGCAATGACTTTTCCAGCCCAAAGTTCCAAACACTTCCACAGTCCTCCCCAAAACACCAAGGTCAGGACTGTCACAGCAATATCACACTCTTTGGTGCCAATTTCTGTCTTAGCTTGTTTCTCTATTGCTGTGACAAAATACTCTGACCACTACCAACTTGGGGAGGAAAGGGTTTATTTAGCTTTTATATCCCGGGTCACAGTTCATCCTAGAGCCCAAGGTAGGAACTCAGGGCAGGAACCTGGAGGCAGGAGCTGGAGCACAGGCCATGGAGGAATGCTCCTTCCTGGCTTGGTCTCCTGGCCCCTGCTCAGTCTGCTTTCTTATGCAACGCAGGCTCATCTGCCAAGAGTTGGCACCACTCACAGTAGCTGGGTCCTCCCACATCACTCATCAAGAAGATGCCCCTCAGACATGGCAACAGGCCAGTCTAATAGAGGAAATTCTCCAACTGAGGCTCCCTCAACCCAGGTGTGTCAAGTTGACACTTAAGCTATCCAGCAAATAATCCTTAAAAGATTTTAGGGTTACCTCTCCAGAGGGGGGAATGTCAGAGGGGAGGGAGTGGGCATGAATTTGATCAATACATGTTATATACATGTGTGAAATTCTCAATAAAATTTTTGTAAAAGTTAAAAAAAAAGATTTTTATAAAAAAAATTCAATTATTTGTAGAGGCTCTTATATCTTCCTACTGTTTTGTACCTTAGTGTCTTTAAGTTTTTAGCATATTGATGTTGTATACATTGAACTCAGTTGAAGCATATCTTTTAATTACTTGTGAGCATTAATTCTACCATTACTAAGAAATTAAATGTGTGATGTAGGTAGAATTGATCCTATATTCAAGTTCACCATTTTGTCCTTATTGATCTACATGAATTAAACTTTTATTTCCACTTGCCTTGCTATGGGAACAAATTTAGAAAACATTTGAGTGATGTGCTTGAAGTCAAAAGTACAGTTAATTCTCTTTTTAACTATAGATGAGAGAACATTCCATTTTAATATTTCTAGCAAGTGAAATGAAGAGCAAAATAATAGAATAGGAATAAAAATACAGATATCAGAGAACTTCAGGTGTGTCTTGGCACAAATTATACCTGAACCCTGACCTGCAGGTTTGTTAGCCAAATGCAGACTAATGAGATTATGAATGTTAAATATGAAGGAAAATATGTTCTTAATGGTCTGTTAATTTAACTAAATTTGAACCTCAATGGAATGTTTATATCAACTCCTTCAAATTTCAGGAGCCACTACCAAAGATTTTTTTTTTTTTTTTTTTTTTTAAAAAAAAAAAAAAAAAAAAAAAAAGGAATGCAGTCTTCTCTATACATGGCATGATTTCTGAACTCTTGAAAATGCAGTATCTGTGATACCCTGCATAAGAACTGCACAAGACTGATATCATCTTTATTTTATCATGTGGGTGGGGAGAGAATCACAGGTCCCTACTCTTCCCTGAAGCAGTAACCAGTGCTGAAAGGGGAGAGGTTCATGAGACTCCATTTCTCCCTGGGGATCTATTGGCACTTAATGTGGGCTTTAGGGAAGAGAAATTTTCTTCTGTGCTGTCATCACTGGTAAAGTACCCTATGAAAAATCTATAACCTATGTTTCTGAAAATAAGCTAAAGCCATTGACTTAGAAAAAAAGATATGGGATTAGAAGATGGAGTAATTGAGAACAGGAAATGGTCAGTATGAGTAGAAAGGGGCCAAGAGAGTTGTGCTGGTTAGTTTTTGTCAACCTTATAAAAATTGGAGAAACCTAGGAAGAGGGAATTGAGGAATGTCAATTGGGAAATGTTGCTTCTAAGAAATTGGCCTTAGCCACATCTACAAAGCGTTTTCTTCATTGATAATTGATTACGGAGTTCCCAGCCTACTGAGTGAGGCCCATCACTAGGCAGTTGTGCCTGGGCTGTGTATGAGAAGTATCTGAGCAAGCCAGGGAAAGCAAGTCAGTAAAATTTGTTCCTTCATAGTCTCTGCTTTAGTTTCTGTCTCTAGGATCCTGATTAACTTCTCTCAAAGATGGACCCTGCTTTGAAATCGTAAGATGTAAATAAACTCTTTCTCTACCAAGTTGCTTTTTGCCAGTGCTTTTGTACATCAATACAAAGCAAAGCAGAATAGAATTTGGTACTGCGGACTGAGATCTTGGTATGATTGGCCTGACCATGATGGGTTTGGAAGAAATGTAGAAGTATCTAGAACATTGGCTGGAAAAACTTTTGAGGTTCAGAGTTGCTATAGGAGCTTGGGATGATAAGAATGATGAGAAAGCTGCAAACAATGAATGCCAGGGTTATGAAGTTTCAGAGGGAAACAAAGACTATCAAGGCTGTTTTTGTGTTTATATATTAGAATTAAGATTCTGTAGTTTCTGGTCATATGGGTTGGAAAATCATCTGTGATTAACAAGAGACCAACACCAATGAAGGGAAACTTTCATTTTCTGGGACAATTGATGATATTTAGCTGGGTTTTAAAATCAGTATGATTAATAAAAGACCAGTATTGTTGAGGGAAGCACACAGAAGCTATAATCTGGAAAGGTCTAATGTTACCTCTCTATCTAGATTCAAACTTGGTTATGTGTAAGTCTCCTACATCATACTGACTTGGTTGAATGAAAGCTGAAAATTGTAGGGATCACAGAGAGAAGATGAGGCATTGGCATCACGTGACTGATTTGAAATCTGAAGGGGCCATGCGAGGCCATTGGTGAAGGTACAGTATTAAGTTGCTGTGGAAACCACAGCATATCTGAAGTACCAGGACCATCTCAGTTCCCAGGGATAACCACCAAATACAGTGGCAATTGTGTATTGTCAGAGCCTATGAGACAAGGTTTATGTGCTACAAAAGGCAAAGTCAGAGAAGTGGAACTCCTGAACTTTTCTGGAACCCAACATATTGTGAGTGAATCCCAAATGTCTGACAGTGAGCTACAGTCCTGAACTTTGGTTATCTGGGTTCTTCCATTATTCAAACAGTACTCTGTCTAACTTGGTTTTGATTTCATAGGAGCTCACAGTTAAGAGACTTTGGAAATTTAAAAGAGAGTTTGAACTTTTAAATTGTTTGAAGTTTTAAAAGACTGTGGGACTCTTAGAGTTGTACTATGTTTTATATTATGATATTAAGACACTATGTTTAGAATAAACAAGTAAGAAAGGGTTATGGTTTAGTAGCATTATTTTTACATTTCAGTTTACAAAGGATATGTTGTATCATTTTTCCCAATTTGACAGAAATCATAGACACCTAGAGAAAAGGAACCTCAATTGAGAATTTGCTTCTATGGGATTGGCCTTGGTCCTTTCTGTAAAGTATTTTCTTAATTGTTAATTGATAAACCTACTGAATTGGTCTCATCTATGGATCTGTAAAGCTAGGTTGTAATAAGAAATGAAGCTGAACAAGTCAGAGGAAGAAAAGCAGTAAGGGACATTCATCTGTGGGCTTTGCTTCAGTTCCTACCTCCAGGTTCCTGTCTGGAGTTCTGGCCCTGACTTAACTCAGTGACAGATTATTACCGGGAATTGTAAGATGAAATAAACTCTTTCCTCTTCAAGATGCTTTTGGTCAGTGTTTTATCACAGCAATAGAGAAGCATACTAGGGCAGGAGGAAAACTGGAATGTGAATATAATCAAAACTCAATCTATACACTTATAGAAATGTCATCATTAAGTCCATTGTTATGTTTAATTAATATATGCTAATTGAAACCTTTAAAACAAATAATTTGTTAACTGCAATTGAGTATGTGAAAATACTGTCTATCCATGTAGCATCCTTTGGGACAGTACCATTTAGTCCTGAATCACTAAATTATTTCACTCACTATCAGTAGTTAGCATTCAAGTGTGATCAGATCAACTCTATAAATGTATTGCATATTTTATACATTGTCTAGAAAATATGTAAAATTCAGTTTTTTCCTATTTATAATGTATATTCCAGTTCACAAGTAATTGACTTAGAAGTCTAATTTACTATGTAGTTTCTATATAAAATTCTTAATAAGTCCAATAATTTATTTTTATAATTTATTCCTTTTAATAGATTGTGTGTAGGTTAGATTGCTTTGTAGTGCATTACATTTTTCTAGTTGGATAATATTTGAATGAAAAGAAATAAAAGAGTTTAAATGGCTCTATTAGTACCACTAATGTTTTAAATTTACCTAATTATAGCATCCAAGCGGTTGTGGTTATATTGTAGCATAAACTTTCTTACATTTGTCATGACAAGATCTAAAGTCCAATTTTTCAATTCTGGCACTTAATCTATGAGTATGCAATACTCCAGGGACCAATCATTGCTAAGTTACTTAATTGCACCACTAAATGTTATGTTGGAGTGCATTCATGCTGCAGGAGCCTCTTTCCTGCTTGAAATCAGTCTTCTACAAAGCCAGAATTCAGAGAAGCAGATGGACTAATGAATTCACCAATTATCCCATACAAATAAAAACATCTTTTTGTTGGCCATATTGTGTTCACATAGGATCAATCTAAAAGTCTGCTATTTTCCACATTTTTTTTTTTTTTTGGTCTTTTTGAGACAGGGTCTCTCTGTAGCCCCAGCTGTCCTGGAGTCACTATGTAGACCAGGCAGGCCTTGAACTCACAGAAATCTACCTGCTTCTGCCTCCGGATTGCTGGGATTAAAGGCATATTCCAACACACCCGGCTCAGTTTCCACTTTTAAGTAAACATTTTTATATACTTACCTAGCAGGGGAGATACCATGATCATGTGTGTGTTTTCCTCAGGGTGAGGCTCATTCATTGACTTCTAGGTGTGCTGACCCCTGTGAACTCACCAAATGTGGGAAACTCAACTGCTTAGTTTGTGGTAGTGGGAGACCATGTTTGTGCTTTCTCCTTTAAACAAATGAAAAAAAAAAAAAAAGACTTTCTAAAGCTTCTGACCTAAAAGTAATAACAGTAATTAGCAGTTCCCTTATTCAAAGTCACAATTTGAAAGGCTCAGTTTTGTAAAGAAAAATGTTTTCAAAAACAACACTCGCTGCTTCCCTGTGCCTGCAGGACCCGCAACAGGCCTCTCTCCTACCCCCAGGCCTCTCTCCAGGGTAAGTCCATTGTGCCCTCCGTGCCTTGACTCCCCCAGCCTCATTCACCCTCCTATCTCCACCACCATTCTCTCCTCCAAGCTTGGGCCCTGCTCTATTCCTTATCTTGGGGATCCAGATACCTGGGGAACCAATACTGCTCCCTGATCCTTTTCATTCAGAACAACATAGTGCCTTCTCTGGGCCCCAGGAGCACTGCTTCTGGGCCTCCCCATGCCTTCAACTCCCTTTGCTTCCCTGGGCCTGCATCACCCACCAGCCTCTTTCTGGGATGCTGGGGATGACCTTTACTCTTCCTGATCCTTTGCAACAAGACCAACCAAGCTCCTCAGTACAGTCCCCAGGAGGCTTTGAGGCCTCTACCTGCCCCATCTGCCTTTGCATCTCTCAGTGGCTCGGCCACCAGCTGTTCTAGACCAGCATCTTTTCTGGGCCAGGCTCCCAGACCAGTCAAACCTGCAAATTCCTGAGGCCAAAATCGTTCCTGGAGGGATCCTGACCTTAAGAGAAAGCCTGAAAACATCTGACCCTCACCTGAATTGGGCCTCTGTGGGAACTCCTGAAGACAAAAGCAATCCGGCCACTCCAATATGAAATCAAAAGAGACAACTGGAATCTTAGATGAACCAGCTTTGCATGCTCAAAAAGTAAACCACAAAGACATATAAAGTTCACAAAAAGAAGCAGACCCAGAAACAGACCTTAACTCAACAAAGGAAGTCTTGCATCTCACACAAGAATCAGAAACTACAAAAGAAATCCACATGCCAAAGACCAAAATAATATATCCCCACCAAGTACCAACAGTCCTCTAGAGGAGTACAATGAGAACCCCCTGGAGAAAACACAGGACATGGAACTCAAAAGAACAATTATAAAAACAATAAAAAGACTTCAGTGAATTTAAAGAACAAAGAAATCAAAGAACAGAAAGATGATAGGTATAAACTTCTGAATGAATTCAGAAAAGAGTTAGAAATATTGAAGAATACTTGGGCTGAAATGAAGAATGAAGTGAAACACTCAGTAAGCCAATTAGAAATGACAGGAGAAAGCCTCACCAATAGGATGAATGAAATGTAAAACAGAGTATCAAGCCTGGAACATAAAGTGGACGAACTAGACCACACAAGAAAAGATGATGAAAAATTTAAGAAAGCACAAGAATGGAATATGCAGGAATTGTGTGACACC